TTTACGTCCATACAATACTTCATATGGTGCCGCTTGGATACTGGAATGATAACTGTTGTTATATGCAAACTCTATTAACGGTAAGTGATCTTCCCATGATCCTCCGAAGTCAATAATACAACTTCTTAACATATCTTCTAGAGTTTGAATAGTTCTTTCACTCTGTCCATCAGTCTATGGGTGATACGCTGTACTTAGTCGAATTTCGGACCCTAGAGGTCTTTGTAACCCTTCCCAGAACTTTGAAGTAAATCGGYTATCTCTATCAGAGATAATAGACAAAGGAACACCGTGTCTAGTAATAACCTCTTTAATGTAAATCTGCGCTAGCTTTTCTAAAGAGTATCTCTCTCTTATCGGTAGAAAATGTGCAGATTTAGATAAACNTCTCATCTCTATTCCAGTTCTCATCTCGTGTAATTATTTTTGTAATCTCTAGGATGGAGTTTCTATTTCTCAAATTGTGTATATATACTCCATAGTGGTTGATGTAATAAACAAGTCAATTCAATTACAAATTATAATGTTTGTTTTATTAACTAGTTGCTTTAAAGGGCCGTTTACCTGAACACTTATCCAGTAAGCGTTTACCGGTAAAATTCAACACTATCGCTTACTTATCGAGTAAGATTTCAGTCCACTAAAACAACTTTGTATGTAACAATTTGCTTTGTAAGCGCTAACCGTGGTAAGAGTCACAACCATCACTTATTGGGTAAGACTCTTGTTCCTTGTTTTCGCTCTTACCAGGTAAGATTCTTGGTCCTTGACATATTCATCCGGTAAGGTAATATGACTTGTAAGCACTTATCCAAGTAAGCATTTGGTAAACGGCCCCTAATCGTCTTTGATTCTGCTTCCCGTGAAAACAATTTGATTATTTTGATTCATCATCCTCTTAAAGAACACTTACACGTTCAACCCAATTAGAAACTCTTCAAACTTAAATTCAGAAAATTTCAATCAAAAAAGCATTCAAACACAAAATTTTGTTTTGTTATATAGGTAAGTAGTGTGCGCCCCACACAATGCACGATAGTTATAACCTTTTTAAAGAGTATTTAATCGAGTTAAAATAGAGCATAATTTATAGTAAACAATTAATGAAATGCAATCTAAAACAACAATTGAATTTCTGCAAGTGATTGATTGACATATATTGATAAGCATTTATTATATATATATATATATATATATATAAATATATATATATAGAGAGAGAGGCACGTTGAATTAAAAACCGTACAATTCTAAAAAACCGTGTAAACCAATTTCAACCAATAGAAAAATTCTATTATTTTTTAATTAAATTTAATTATTAAGGGTATTTCGGTCATTTAAGTTATTTCTATTAAATATGGAAATGATTAAGGAGTATTAATTATGGAAAAGTAATAATGAAATTCTTAAAAATGGTAATTTTTAAATATGTAAYTATATTATGATAATAAAAATTAAAAGTAAATACAATGTAATCCAAGTGAATCTRGATTGTGATTATTGGAGATTGTAAGTTCGTGATTGAATTCATTCAAAAACATTGTGGTTGATGAAAAAAATTCAAAATGATGAAAMADGWTTCATCATCATGAAACTGGTTCATGACATGGGATTAACAATGAGTGGTGGAATACTTGTTTGGTGACCCCGATTCATTTGTGATTTAGTTGATCTATATAGTTGGGGAATGTGAAAATGAAACTTGTTCATAATGTTTGTGGTTCGTCAAGAAGTAATATGATGATGAAACAAGTTTCATGTAGATGAAACTGGTTCATGACATGGGATTAACAATGAGTGGTGGAATACTTGCTTGGTGACCCCGATTCATTTGTGGTTTACTTGATCCATATAGTTGGGGAATGTGAAAATGAAACTTCTTCATAATGTTTGTGGTTCATCAGCAAGTAATATGATGATGAAACAAGTTTCGTGTAGATGAAACTGGTTCACGATGTTAACACATACGAGGAGTGGTGGAACATTTGCATAGTTACCCGATTCATTTAAGATTTAGGGGCTGTTTGTTTGGCTCTTAATGGTGACATTAAGAGCCAACCTCTGAATCGGTCAGAGGTGAAATGTGTTTGGCAAAAAAAAACAGCCCTCTTAATCGTTACACAGACCTCTTAACCATTTTGAAGGCGGGGGGCTACTCAACCATTCAGATTACCATTTCTTCCATGAATACCCTTCCACACCCTTTACCAAGTAGCCGCGCCCATCGTCTCCCCAAGTCGTCGCCTTGCCGGTTATCGCCTCCCCCATCTTCTCTGGCGCCGGTGTCGTCGGTCGCCCTTTCCACAGCCCCTTCGTCTCCCCAAGTCGTCGCCTCGTCGGTTCCCGTCCTCCATCTTCGTCGTCGGTCTCGCTTTTGTCAGGTATGTCTCGCCGTCCTTCCTGTTTTGTCGCCGGTCGTTAGTCGGTTTAAGTCGCCGGTCGCCGGTCTTCAAATCCCTCCCCCCACCCCACGTCGCCGGTCTTCAAATCCCTCCCCCAATCCTACGATCGTCGGTCTTCTTCTTCCAGCAGGTCTGTCGTCGTCGCTCGTCGCCGCCTCTCGTCGCTGCGTCTCGTCGCCGCCTCTCATCGCCACCTCACGTCGCCGTCTCCGGTCGCCTTCCACAGCCTCCTTACTGTTGCATCCTCTCCTGTCTAGGGTTTGGTTTAGGGAATTTTTAGCATTTTTCTTTGGAAATTGATGGTGTTTATTGCTAATTTCATGTTTGTAACAATGTTAATGATTATTGGATTACCAACATTTTGCAATTTCTTGAGGATTTGATACTGAGATATGAAGAACAACATCTTTTCTATATATCCGGCCGGTTAGAATTGATTGTATTTCTTGAGGGTTAAAATGGTAATTTGTTGT